TAATCAAATATTTTTTTTCAAAAATTTTGAATTTGCATTTTTGAAATCGCAATATTGTTTCGTATTTATTTGTTTAGTTTACTCGTGTATATAAATATTAAATAATTTTTTCTTTCTTTCTTTCCAGGCAATATGGAATTGTAAGAACGTAAGTAAAATTGATTTCTGTTCAATTAATTTTATTTTGTTAGCATTATATATACCTAAATTGTGTTGTATATTTTTTGTATGCAAAATTTTTCTCTCAAAATTCTTATACCATATAACAAAAAAGCCTCCAGTTGGTAAAAATTTATATGCCAATCATGCTTTTTCGCTCAAAACATCTGGAATTTTTCATTAAAAACTCTCTCCCTTTACAAATTCGTTTAGATATAGTAACGGTTATAGGTAACCAATAGCAGGATTCACAAAATAGTATACATATGTATACATGTCTCTTCGCTTTGGGATTCTAATCATAATTTTGCTACAATAAATTTGATCGATTTGTTCACGCATGACAAATTTCTGACGAAATCATGACAACGACGAATGAATTCTTTTATTGCATAAAAAGTTTTCATCACGTCCAGCCAGTAACACACAGGCATTTTGAGATGTTAAAACGATATAATTGACTACTTGTACAGGTTTTCTATTAATTCATATTAAATAAATTGTCAAAACTAAAAATTTTACACCAATACTTGACAAATTGCTGTTAATCATTTCTATTTTAATACATTGCAATTATGTTGTCAAAATTATTTGTGGATTTCCAACAATTTTAAAATGACAATGGAGGTGTAAAAAATATAAAATTAGATGATTTATTAGTTTTGCTAATATAACTAACTCATTTATGGGAATATATCATACCACTGTCATTCATACTAAAAATGCTTAAAAAAAGCAAAAAATGTGTTATTATCTATCAATTTTATCTTGATATCCTTCCAATAAAATGTCTAAACTAACTTCTGAAGAGTGTTTAGTAAGTTTTCACTGCTGTCATGCCTGACAATTCCGTGACAAAGTGCTGACATTAGCAAATCAATATATTTGTTGCAAAAAATAACGATCACGTCTAGACACTTATCTATACCAGTAGCTAACGTGCTCTTGACTGTTTGTCTGTCCCGAATTAGTGTGTTTTTCGGATTTTTGTCAGCAAACCTCCACTTTCCACCGCTTGGTGGTTCATGTCAGTGCACCTACACATTAATTATTGACTGCGGTAAAGCGATTAACGTTTCACTCATCCGTAATTGCGTTTCGTTGTTTGCGTTGATGACCAACAGAGCGATGCCAGCAACAGTTGCTGTGCCAATACAAAAGCAACAATAACTAATAGCATTCCATTGAGTGGTTGAGCTAAGTGTAAACCCCACAGACACGCACACACACATGCATGCAAGCAAAGGCGTAGACAGCCACCCACAAATAAACACATTAGAGCCGGTGTCGTGTAAACTTGCATGGTTTCCTTGTTGGGCGGCCGAGTACGACTCACTTTGGTTCGTTTAAGGCATGTGTGTTTGTGACAATGCCCGCATTTGTGGCTGTTACCCTGACAGACACTCATGTATACATATATAGGGAGACCAGCTGCTGTATTGTCACCCAGCGCCGCAGGTGCGCACAGCGATCCGTCCGCTGCCTTTTCTACTGACAGCGTTTTCGATTGCATTGTGCTTCGTTGCCTCTGCTATGCTTTGATTTCGTTCGTTTCGATTCGATTCGGTTTGATTTGGTTTGGCCTGACAGTTGCCAATGGCAGCGGCAAATTTGCTACATTTTGATTAATCTACACACATACAAACACGCATTAATACAATCCAAAAAATTTTACCTACGTATATATGTACATATACACATGTATCTGTGTCTGCGTTTGCTTACGTGTGTCGGCAGAAAAATATTTACCTTCCACGCTTGCCTTGCCCCAGCGCTCAAAGCGCTGAAAATCCAGCTTGTGCACGCTCGGGGCCATGCAATGACTGTGGGTCAGGCCAACCAACCACAAAAGTACCCACCATTACATGACCGCCTTGTAGGTTGCAAGTCAATTTTGCTGTTTATCGAGGCATACTTTGTGGCGCACACCTCACTGTTCGCTCAACAGCAGCACCTCCTGACATTTTCGCCCGATTTCCCACAACGCACGATAAATCTACCACCGCGCTTACACAAATTTGCATAAAAAATTCGTTTAGCCCATAAAAGTATGCTAGGCCGAAAATTGCAGCAGCCTCGCATATGCCGCTCATGTGCAGTTAGTTAGCTGCTAGGCACCTGGCGTGCTATTTCATACGCTCTGACTTTTAACTAATTTCTGTGGCGCTTACCCCACCACATTTATTCCCCAACAATTATATATACCCCAGCTAAGTATTTTAGCCTGCCAACCCACATACGCTTCCGTCGTAATGAAAATGCAGCTCTCATGGCGGTCCCCGCTTTTTGCCAGCTAGTAACTACCTCCGGTTGCTGCATTTAATTGCATTTTACAGCCACATTTAACGAATTTAACCGAGCTATGCGGCGTAAAGTATGTAACGTTTACGGCGTTGCGGATTTTTATAAATTTTGCTCGCTCTTTGGTTTTCGTTTTTTTTTGTTTTTTACTTTGTCGCGCACATTTATCCACCTGCTTGTGTTAATTGGTTTGCCTGAAATCGCATTTTTGATTATTATTATCGCACGTACTGTTAATTTGTTATAAGCCCGAAAGTATGCTAACCAATTTGTGTATATGCGAATTTTATTCAATTAAATGTTTTGCGTGCAACTTGTAGTGAAGTGGCAAATATTTAATATTGGATTTAAAACGAGCAGAATTTATGTGTTGAGTAAATTGAATTGGTTTAATGCTATCCTGTACTTTTAGGCGCATGAGAGGTAGGGTTGTGTTTTCTGCCAAATTATGTATTGCTTTGTTATTACAAAACTATACGTATATATTTTTTAATTTGTCCAATTTAATTAACAAGTTCTTGTTTTTTAATAAAAATTAATTAATAATTTTTAAATTTAAGATGTGTATAAGAGACAGGATATGCTGTAGCGCAGCTACTTAGCCACTTTAATGCAGGCTATATATGAATATATACATACTATATGCTAACTATAAAAGAAAGAATAGAATCACATACACAAACATAGTGAAAAATTATTTGAGATAGATTTTTTTTGTAATAATAAATAAATTCCTAGTCTGTATGTGCCTTCAA